CTGAGAAAGAGATAAGACATTCGTCATCCTATCTGAAATATTTATAAATATTGTTCATCGTTTTTACATCTGGAATTTTAGCGAAGCGAATCAGATAAGAGTTTTTAATGTTTTCATATTCTGGCACTCATTTCTTTCGCCCAGGCTGGTTTCTAGCGGATATGAGCATACTGCCATAAATGGGCTATTCGAGAAAATTGTATATTTTTTAGTTGTTTCCCATGAACAGAGTTTAATTACTTGCAATCAATTATAATTAAAAAAAAAAGAAAAAAAAGAAAGAAAGGAAGTAGAAACCTTACATAACTGAACAGCTTTTAGTTAACAATTTTTTAAAGATGAATTGGATTATCGACCTGCTGGATACAAGAAGTCTTTTCAGAGGATCTTCGGAAGAGGTCAAAACAGAGAAAACTTCCTTACGGTTTTCGCCGAGCTTTCGACAGTTTTATACTGTCATCTTCAGGACCTGTTTTATTATCATATAAACAAACAATTAAAACATGAAAAAACAATAATTACAACAAAAATTGAATATCTTACTTTAAACCTTAATAGGGAATTAAACAACATGGTGTTTTGGGCACAGAAGTACATTATGTTTTTTGGGGCTCAGCATCTAAACATTAATTTAAATTGAATACATTAATAATTAAAAATTATAGCTAAAATTACAGTAAAAATAAAAATTAAAAACGTGGTCGAGAAAGGTTACCTCATATAAGTCTAAAAAACCAATAAAATCCTCCTTTTTTAGTTTTTCAGTTAATAAAACAGGCCCTGAAGATGACAGTATAAAACTGTCGAAAGCTCGGCGAAAACCGTAAGGAAGTTTTCTCTGTTTTGACCTCTTCCGAAGATCCTCTGAAAAGAATTTTTTAAAGGTGTGTTGTATTTTTGCGGTTGCAGGTTGAATGTTAATAAAGCCTTAGTTCCAACTGTTATTAGTTTATTCACTTTTCACTTACAATGTAAGCATCTTCAGCCCTTATCCTATACATAAATAAATAGTTTCAATATAAATTTTGAAAAATCTATGTACTAATGTTTACCCAATGTTATACTTTACATCTAATGAATTGAATGAAATAACTGTGACTCTGTTTTTTGTTATCTTTGATATTATTATTATATCATAATGATATAATAACCAAAAACAGAGTACATCTTCATGTTGACTAGTTTTTTCTTTCCATTAAATTTAATTAGTTCATTCAATTCATTAGAAGTAAAGTAGGAGATTAGGAAAACATTACTACACAGATTTTTCAAAATTTATAAAATTTATATATTTGTCACTATTTATTTATGTATAGGTTAAGAGCTGAAGTTACAATACAAGTGAAAAAGCTTTCCTGAATAAATTAATAAACAGTTGAAAGTAAAGGACTTTTAATTCTTTTTAATCGCTAAATGATGATGGCTCAGATATAAAAACATCATCCCAAATAAAACATCATCATCTCTCTCACTTTTTCTTTCACCTCTCTTCACATTATGTGTAAAAAAAGTTTACAGAACCAAACTTTTATGTGGTAATATAAACATCATCACTCTCTCTCTCTCTCTCTCTCTCTCTCTCTCTCTCTCTCTCTCTCTTCTTGATGTCTAGGATCCATTGGTGTACCATATTACAGTATAATTTGTAAATGTTTCTTTTTAATTCTTCAAACATCTTGTTTGAAAGGGTCTGATTTTTCTTTGATTTTGTCAGATACCTTTATTACCTATTGTCCTTTTAGAGTTTTTTCCATGCACAATAATCTGCATGTACAAATGATATCTTATGAATGTACATGTGAAACCCTTCTGCTTTCATTCTCGAATTTGGATATAAGTCAGGACAGGGTCATTTCTGCAGTTTATTTAATTTATTTTTATACTTTGTATCTACCAATGAGTTGTAATAATCATTGATTTATTTATATAATTTTTGTGATGTGTATTATTATATTCTGACGCACCATATCTTTAAACTTTATCTTTTTCATACTTTATCAAAATTTAACATTTTTTCTTTTATGTCATTCTTCAAATAGATTAAAAAAATCCATATCTTAGTCAAATAAAAAGTGTGAATTACAGTTTTTCTTCAAGGTTTTGTTGCTTAATATTTTATCGTCATTTTTACAAAGGTTGACTGTCATAAAAGAAAGGAAAAAAGAAAAAAAACTATTTATAATTTTATAATTTTTATAATTGAGGTTCGAAATTTATTGTTTGTCAAGAAGTTTCACACTAATTTTCAAGTCATATTATTCAATTTAAAAAAGGCTTTCAATTTTTTGTCAATACGTTAATAAAATATTGGGTCGATTTTAAAACAAACCCTTTAAATGGTAGGTAAATTAAAAAAATCGATATGATTTAGAATAAACATGTCAAAATATCAGATAAACAAGGAAGCTGAACTAATTAATCTTATGTTAATTTTACATGCTGTTATAATTTTATAAATATCATTTTCGAAAGGAATGAGTGCCCACGAGTTGGACACTCGAAAGGTATTGGGAAAAATAAAAACAAGGAACACTTAGTCAGTAGTTAGCGCAATGAACTGCAATAAGGCCAGATGTCGTTGGTCGTAATTTGAATGCGATTATCTTATAAAAATGTTAAATAATACGAGTTAAGTCGGTATTGAGCCGACGTTGAAAAAAATAAAAAATAAATCAATTATACCCAATAACTGTTGTAAAAACTATCGATGCACATGATTTTTAAACTATTTTCCCCAGATTTTGACTTGTTTATCATAACGCCATTTTGTGTAGATGTCTTGATTATTGTTTCCGATGTCAATATTCAAAACGTGCTCAACTTCTGTTATTATTTCTCTTCATTTAATATTTTTTAAAATTTAATTGAGATTATATTTAAGATTTTCAGAATTCCTATAACCAAAAAGAGTTTTTAAATCCTGCTTTCTTCGGTTTTGGGATGTCTTCGTCGATAAATTATGAATATCGGCAGATTAAAGCATGTAATAATAATCCTTTGTTCACGGAAAAGACGGAAGAAAAGAAGCTTAATTATTTCACCGAGGAGACCATATCGAAAGTGACTTTCTGCCCTAGCAGTCTGAATTTGTTGTTGATTTCCTCGTGGGATGGACTTGTTACTCTTTTTGATGTGAAGAACAATGCGTTCAGGTGTAGGTACGACCATGGCTCTCCAGTTCTGGACTGTTGTTTTCTTGACGCGGCGCACTCCTTCAGCGGTGGTCTCGACAGCATTGTTAAAGCGTACGATTTAAACGTCGGGAAAGAGACGGTAGTTGGAACGCACGATAAAGCCGTCAAATCTGTTGAGTATTCATCGGATGTAAAATTACTGTTGACAGGAGGCTGGGATTCGCAGGTGAAGATGTGGGACCCGAGGATGGACACTTGTGTCGGTACGCTGCTTCAGCCTGATAGAGTATACACGCTCGCTCTTTGCGGTGACAAGTTCATTGTCGGCACTGCGGGGAGAAAAGTGTACGTGTGGGATCTCAAGAATCTAGGTTATGTTTTGCAAAGGAGAGAGTCGAGCCTTAAATACCAGACGAGGTGTATCAAGAGTTTTCCAGATCATAAAGGCTACGTGTTGTCGAGCATAGAGGGTAGAGTCGCTTTTGAGTATCTCGACTCGAGCCCTGAGATGCAGAAGCTCAAGTACGCCTTCAAATGCCATCGTCTCAAGGAAAACGGTATTGAAAAGATCTACCCAGTCAATACAATCAGCTTTCATCCCAAACACTCGACCTTCGCCACAGGAGGTTCAGACGGCTACGTAAACATATGGGATGGCAACAACAAAAAGAGATTGTGCCAGTTCCACCGGTACCCATCTTCTGTCACTTCCGTCTGCTTTGACGGCAATGGCACATCCCTCGCAATAGCATATTCTGAGTTGTACAATGAATACGGAAGTAGTGACAAAACTACGAGTGGTATTTACCTTCGCCATTCTTCTAGGCAAACTATGCAATAAACGTTTGCATTATTTTAACCAATTTTTGTACATTTTTTCATTTTGTAATAAATACTTTTGTTTTTCTTAAATAACCTCTGTTGTAGTTATTTTTATTTGACCAATCAGCAGAACTTGGTTAATTTGGAAATATTTTCTTCTTGAGATATGGGGGTTGTTGAACCTGTGGTTTGGTTGTTTCTGATCATACTGTGCCACAAGAATAAGTAATAAAGGATAATAAGTAATGATCAATTTAAAATGTAATTATACAACAAACATTAGAAATTGGAAAATACAATTTCAAAGGAATTAAAAATTTGATAAAACTAATCCCGAATCGAATCCCACTCGTGACACTGACTTTTTTATCTCAACTGAAAACCTTAATTAATTGAAAGATATTAATTGGTCAAGCGGACCACGAAAACTAGTGAATTTGATAAAATGTTAAAAAATTATATACATTTTTCTTTAGGCTGTCTGGCTGGACTAACAAAAAAAATGTCCAGTGCAAAAGATTGTTAAAAATTGATGTAATATTATGTAAAAATTATGTAATATTTTTTATCTATTATGTAGCACTTTTTATTTTGTATGCTATTGTACAATAATTATTTAATTTTGTTGTTCTACATAATTTTTCAATTTTTAATAAGGAAATAATTATTGTGAGATTTCTAAATTCTACACATTTCTACATTTTCTATGTGAGTGTGATGGATCTGAAATTTGGTCGTTATCGATCATTTTGGTCTGCTGTGTCATAAAATTAGTCATAATTAAATAATAATTCTTTGATTGCCAGATCAATTATCGAACTCTTTAAAAGCTTAAAGCGCTTTTAAAAATATTAAACAATATACTCACCCCATCTTTATCATTTTGACGAATATTGTTCAATTCCATTTTTTGTGTCTTTATTTAAGCTAAAGTGTCCTCTTTTTTTGCTAACATTGTTATCAGATTTAAATATGAGATAATTGTTTCAAATGAACTAAATATTGAGATAAAAATTTTATTGGATATATGAATAAATCAAACGGTTTAATGTTCACATGGATTTATTTTCAAAATACACAGCAGGCATTTAAACCTAAAAATAGCAATAATATTAATAATTAATAATAACTAATAATTAGTCAATACACCTTTGTTATGAATCGTTACATATAGTAACAAGTTTCTCGATTAATTTTCTTCCTCCGACACGATATGCCATATCGGCCAAAGCGTTAGTGACTTGGATAACTTGGCAGCAGATGAGATATTCATGTGAATGCACTTTCATCGCTTTGATCATGTCTGGGTCAACGTTCATCTTAACTCCGTGGCACTCTTCCCTTATCCGGGATAAATTGAAGCTAATCTGTGACAAGTTGTTAACGCTGTCACCCTGCCCAGTTTGATCTGAACGTTTCTTCCCTTTGACCTTGGTATCTCTCCACCATAAACAACATATGATGCCGGCTGTGGCCCCGACAGCCAGAGCTGTGAGGCTGGCTGTGATTAATTTAGATATTTTAGGGTGTTCAAAATTACTCAAAAAAATAAATGTTAAACCATTTTTTTAAATTCTGATTTAAAAAAAAATCACATGTTTTTAAGAAAAATAAATTTTATCAATAGATAAAGAAGGAAATACTTAAAAAAAAGTCCAAAATTATTACTAACGTAACAATGTTTAAATGCATGTATTAACTTGTAAATTCTAACAGATAAAAACACTTGTATTATTTTTAGGAGAGGAGGAAATCTATTTTTTGAAAAGGGCATCAGTTCACTAGAGAACATCCATAGGGTAATTTTTAGCTTTTTTAACAGCGTATGAGTCAATTGAATTTACAGTTTAAAAACATATTGGAGAATTTAACAAAAAAGTATTTTATGCAGCATGTTCACGTGGCTTAGATCTCTTGCTTCTTGTGCCCCGGGTTATCTCCCTCAAGAGGCATAGTGACTTTATACAGGAAAAAGAGCTTAATTGAATAATTGCTACAGTTTGAGGAGTGGTGTGTCCCTGGCTTACAATTGGATTTTATTGCTCAGTTTACAATCCGAGGGAGGATCATTGTTGCGGTGTAGGTCATAGTGATGGTGGTTAGCTGGAGGCCCTTTTGGAGACCCTCAGGACTTAACTTCCAAACTTAGGCCTGGGACTGATGATTGATATCACTACTTAAGGCTGAACTTACGATCAGTTTTATGTTCAACATACAATCTTTATAGAGGAGAGGAACGTTGTCGGATTGGGTCGTAGGTTATGAAGGCAGTGAATCGCTTGAGATCCTTTTCAGATGTACATCTACATAGTTAACAGGGTGTGGGAGACAGTGTATGAACTATATTTAAGGGGAATTTCCATTTCCTTTGTATAGATTCCAAGTCACACAGGAATAAAAAACAACGAACGGGCAGACGTTGCTGCTAAAACAGCCCTGCGCTTACCTGAATCTGAGCAGCCCGTGTGTGCAAAGGTCTCGTTTCAACCTTCAGAAGAGAGATATTAAAAAAAATGGGAATCTGAATGGATGAATATTGGAGACAACAAACTAAAAAAGATAAAAGACAGCATTCATCCCTGGGAAACTTCCTATCAAACGAATAGGAGGGAAGAGGTTATCATCTGCCGACTCAGAATTGGACACACAAGAATCACACACGGGTTCTTGATGAAAGGTACTGACCCTCCTGTCTGCCTATGTGGTGAACGCCTAACCATAGAACACATCTTGTGCCCCCCAAGGAACTGCCAACGGTTTTACTACACATCTTCCTTACACCTCCCCCTTAAACAACTCCTACAGGATAAGCAGCAAATGGTTGACAAAGTCATCGGGTATCTTAAAAAAATAAAACTATACAACTATATATAACAAGAACACTACATTAACACACAAATAACATAAGCAACAAAATTCGGCTGGCTGTATGCGCTCCCCAGAACTGACACACATACAAATCCACATACACACACTCACATACCACTGTACACATACGCATACATAGCTACATAAAGGCAATGATAGCCCTTGCTGGTTTTTTGCCTAAAAAAAAAAAAAAAAAAAAAAAAAACTGGTTGGTCACGGATTCAGGCCAAATTTTTTTTGGGTGATTCTTGTAAATAAGTTCTGGTTTCAATTCAAATTCAAACAAAATGTTATATTTAGGGAGTCTTTAGAGGAAGAAAAATGGAAAACAAAAAAAGTTTACTTGAAAAATAATTGGTTTTTAGACTTTAAATATTCACATTTAATTTTTGCAAGAAGAATGNAAAAAAAAAAAAAAAAAAAAGGTCCAAATTCATAACCCACCAATCTGGTCGTCCATTTGTCAGACTTTTGACTCAAGTGACTGATGTCACGACATCTGACTCCATCTGAACATTATCTCTGACGACTTAACTCTCCATCTCATGTCTGTCTTTGATGAATCTAGTCTTTGCATGTGATTACATCCCAACTGACACTGACTCGGTCTCTGGTACTGATCTGTAGCCAGTTGTAAACCTTGTATGGCGAGACCCCAGGTCGTTGTGACAAGACTGTGAACATGACCTCACCCTGTGATCCATGGATGAAGCGGTTGTTTACAAAACAAGGGCATTTACCCTGGGAACTAGCTGACTAGGCTTCGAGTGCGTGCAACAATACTTTCCTTTGATAAAATACATTCACTCAATTTAATTAATGTCTCATTAATAAACATTATAACAAAACATTACCTAATTTATAGGTATTTAGACAGATATTTTCCATATCTTTGTAAGCAATTAACAAATTTGAAAAAAAAAAATGTCTGAACGAAAGAAAAGGCAAAGTATTTTAAAAAAGTGCCAACCTACTGTTGAGAAGCTCATAGAGGATTTAAGAAACAAAAAAGAATTGGATGTAAGTTATAATCTTGAAAATAGTTTAAGTTTCATAAATGTCTAACTTAATTTTAGTCATTTCATGTTGATCCTTCTGATGAGAGCGTAATAATGAAGACGATAAATGCAAGCACGTTAAAATTCAAAGAGTTAGATCACAACTCAAAATCAACGCCCTTGACCGATTCCTCAGACTGCATTTTAGAAAACCCTACCGATGTAGTGATAATTAAATTTACCACTGATTACATATTAAATCAATTATTAATATTGCCAACAGACTGCAACGAGCTGTACAAAAAACGACAACACACTGATTCAGAATAATCAACAACTTAGACAAAATTTAGAAAGAAAGGTCAAAAGGAACTCAGCACGAGGATCATCAGGAATAAATAATGCAAGAGACCAGCTGATAGAAGAAAATCTGTTAAAAAAAGCAAATGGAATAACAAAATCGGTATGGCATTATTAATTCTTGACAATAATTGGTCTTTTATGATGTATTTTGAAACAATTTTCTATCAATATTTTTGTCTACATTAAGCCTAACCACTATTTTTGATAATGATAAAAACTCAACTAAAACGTTTTGTTTGTCCAATAATTGACACTTGCAGCAAGGTATTGCTGGATTTGTTTGTCTGATTTGATTCAGTAGTCAGCATTGATCTGCATCAGAGATCAAATAAATCACCCTGTAATGTATTTTGAAGACGTACTGAAAATAAATACAACAGTATCTTCAAATGGTCAATAGTATTTATTTATTTTTGGTGGTTTATAATTTCATATTACCGATGACTTAGTGAAGAGTGTGTTCCTGTTAAGCACAGGAAGTTCAAGACCGATGACAGGTACTGTAGCCGATGAGGTGAAAGGGAGAGGAACTACTTTTCTTTCTAGATCGTTTTTCTCAATAGTCCCTTCAGTTGGAAAATGTGAATGAAAACTGTCTGCATCCACATATCTTGGAGAAGTCATATTCTTGACTGGGGTTAATACTCCTGGTCACCTCCTGTCCATCGCACAGGCCAAGCGTGACCAATCCAGGCCCCCCCCCATCACTGCAGCCCTAGTCCCCTGCCAACCCTAAATTCAGCTCACATGAAATGTGGCACTCCTTTATAAACTGATAGTAAATGTCACCCCTGTTCATCAAAACCAGGGATTCCAAACTGATTGAACTTTCTACCCCCTCCAAAGTCAGAGTCTGGACAAAAAGCGTTTGTCTTTCTCCTATGTTACTCCGGACTTTCCATTATAATGTGACTCAGATACTCTGTGCAGACCCAAGTCATGCAATTTGCAGTATATCTTAACCCCTATCTTATATATTTATGTATGCCCCACAAACAATCTGTTTTCATTCTTGTAATTATGGAGAAAAATGCTGGGAAGCAGTGTAAATTTGAAACCCAAGAAGTTTTTTGGTACCTGAGTTTAAATGGTTAATTTTAATGTTAAAAGATAAAGTTAAACAATAATTAATAAAGGTTTAAAGCTGTATATGAATAAAGAACTAATTAAATACAAAGCTAAATTAAAAAAAAGAAACTATTTCATTTATATTATTGGCATAAACTGATTTTTCAACAAAGAATCAGTAAAGTATTTATTGCTTTTTTCTTACACTTTAACCTTTTTCTTAGGAATACCAAATCACAATAAAGGCTTTGGTTGAAGAAGTTGAACGCCTATCTGGCAAGAAAATCTCTGATTACCTGCAATTAACAAAGCTGCAGAAGCTGATTACCAATAGCAATGACGATATGGCAGACGATGTGTTTAATTACCTGATGCCAAACTTCGATATGCCCCATAGAAATTATGAGTGATTTCTTACAGATAGCGAATAAAGAATATTGCATTTTTTTTTTGTATTTCACAAAAGTATATGTGCGATGGGTTTAAAAAAAAGAAAAGTCTTGCTTGCGATAAGCCTGGTGTAAGTATTTATAAAATTTGCTAATTTTGGATTAAATAATTTTTGAATAATACTGCAAACAATATCTGCAAATTTTATAATTAATTGAAAATTTTTGAATGGTGGCTTTGCACCATCTTCAGTGATGAACTAGCCAGTACTCTACACATACCCAGAACCGGCTCAACATGCGTTCATCGACTCACAGACTGACACCCACCATCAACATTAATATAAATTAAATTCACTAACTTCATGGTCCGCTTGACCAATTAATATATTACAATTAATTAAGGTTTTTAGTTGAGATAAAAAAGTCAATGGCACGAGCGGGATTCCAATTTGAAAAATGGCAAAAAGGAGGGAAAATTCAAAAGGTGCGGTTGAGATAGGAAGTTGGTGTCCGAGTGGATCGAAGTCATGATAGCTCAAGTGGTCGAGCAGCGGCGTATCAAGCCGAAGATCGTGGGTTCGAATCCTGCTCGTGCCATTGACTTTTTTATCTCAACTAAAAACCTTAATTAATTGTAATTAATAGAAATGTCATTATAATAAAAAAATCACAAAATTTGCTTTTCACAACAAATTTTATTATATTTGATCACATTTAGCTTAAGCAGAATTTAATGATACATTTAAACATATCTTATTGCTAATAAAACATCATAGTGTTGTACAACTTAACATTGACTGAAAAAAATTCATAGTTATGTGACGTTAGGGTTATAAGCAGGGAGAAATCTTTTTTAATTTATTATCATTTTACGCCATAGATCATGTACCATTATTTTTTCAGTCGAATAAAGCAAAAATTTTGCTTAGTGTCAAGAAAAAAAAAGAGAGTTGACAAAGTTTTACTCGCTTTTTAGATCATCCATTGTAGTCATCGACTCTGAATGTGATATTTTACAACAGAACCTACAGGAACATAAATCTCAAAGATGCTGGGACTATTCGCAATTCGATTGACAGTGATTTATAAAGTGATTTGAAATGTCAACAAATGCTTGTCCGACATAAAACTTTTACTTGTTTTGAAACATCAATAATGAAAAAATAAGAATGTGAGACAAAAGACCACATTTCAAGTTTTACTAAAGAATCGACATTTTGTAAACAAAATTAACCCATTTTTCGACCACTTCATGGATTAGACAATTTGGAAAAACAAAGCTCAATGATTGTACGAGAGCAAACTCCATGTCGGTTTACGGCGTGCGTGACATGGAACCGAGGAAAGCATTTGAACTTTGAGTCAAAAACCATAAAAAAAGTGTGCCGAACCGCGCAGTTCTCAAAAGGCGCATTGCTTGCTCCCCAAGCTCGGCGTGCTCGAACTTAATATTTGACTAGTTTTTTGGGGTCATTAGGGCTGGTGTCTAGAACAAGGTCAAAGTTCAAAATACCTTGATCGCTTCAGAAAATGCAGTTTTAAACACTGAACTTCGTCTTGTTGCTTTGTTATTTTATTTTTATCCATTCACCTCATTGCCGAACCAAAGCGAGACCCCATACCTGCCATTTAACAATTCAGTGACCAGAAAAAAACGGATCTTCACGTTCTTGAAGCCTTTCTTAGATCTTGTTTAGAAAATTGCAAAAATTCCCTATTTTCTGGTGTCTCAAATAGCTTAGAGGCAGCGCCTTCAGTTCAAAGTCCTTTTCTTGGTCCATGTGCTTAGTAGCACTTTAGTACAGGGCACAATCTCAAGAGCTTTTCAAAAAATACTTTCCGATTTCGGGCAAGCAGCAGTTCGGTCTATACGGGCTTTGGTTTTCTCAGTATTCTTGGTTTCAGCTACATTTGGATGCGTTTTTATTCCACAGTTGCGGAAAGTAGCCGACCATTAAGCAGTCGTTGAAAGAGAGTTAGTCAAAATTGACACGCTAAGTCCATAACATAACCCGGTACTTGTAGCTTTTATTTTGTTCACTTACCATAGAGGACTCAGGTCAGAAATATGTGGAGTTGGTAATCAAGTCTCCAATTTATGTTTTTGAAACAGGACTTTATGAAAGCTTTGGTCGTTTTTTTTCTATCGTCAAAATGTCTTACGTTCCGCTTTATGGACTTCAGAGCACATTCTTCTTTGATTTTTTTTAAATTGCAAGCTTGTAGTTCACAATCCGTGGGTTCTGTTTTAAGATTCATATTGCTTAATAAGTTTAGACAAAATTATATTTATACTCCATTATATTTCGTGGTCCGATTGACCAAATAACTTCTCTCAATTAGTTAATCTTCATGTAAGGTATTGGTTGAAATGAAAAAGAGCCACGAGCGGGATTCGAACCCACGACCTTCGGCTCACTACCCCGCTGCTCTAACCACTTGAGCTAGCTTCACGAGCCGAAGGTGGGTTCGAATCCCGCTCCTGACACTAACTTTTACATTTCAACCAATACCTTACTTAAAGATTAATTAACTGAAAGAAGTTCAATCGGACCACGAAATATAATGGATTTAATAAGTAAAACGAAGTATATCTTCACTAAGAGCTCTCCGTGGCCATTTCATCACAGAGATTCGAATCTTGATTAGACGACATTTGAAAAATGGCAAAAAGGAGAAAAAATTCGAAAGGTGGTTTGAGGTGGAGAGTTGGTTTCCAAGTGGTTCGAAGTCACGATAGCTCAAGTGGTCAGAGCAGCGGCGTATTGAGCCGAAGGTCGTGGGTTCGAATCCCGCTCGTGACACAATATATACACTGTTAATGTAGAATACTGGATTTCAATGAGTTTTAAGTGTACCCTTCTCAGAACTTTTGTGGTTACAGAAATTAGTCCTACGACTTCCTATGACCCCCTGCATGCCCGCATAACAGCCAAGAGAAAAAATAAAATGTATTAGGTATGTATTGGCGTTAACCACTTTCACTGTTTCTTAGGAGGTTGCGACGCCTGTGCGGCTTCAGTGAGACAGGATTACTAGGAAGGATGCGGAATAAAAGTTTTCTGCGAGAGGATAATTATTTTTGGAATTTTTGTAGCTGTTTCTTCGAGGACATATTAAATATTAAAGTCTTTGTGAATGATAAGATTGTTTACATAGGAAGGAACGTTGACGATGATTCAGAAGATTTTGGATTGCAAGGATTCGATTCATTAGATGTTGGAAGTTTGGTTGAACTCCAAAATCCGACGGACTACGGTATGGGTATCCAAATAGTGATATAAATAAGTTGCTTGTTTCCGTTTTGATTGTTGGTTCAGCCTTTTAAGAAACCTGAAACGTTGTTTAATTTTTGTCTTTAAGTCGTTTGTCATTGAATAGCCCAATGTAGTGGGCTATATTAGCTTATTCTCTATATAATAGGCTTTTAATAATAGGCTATATTAGGAGAGGGATGTAGCAGATGAAAGAGTGGTTATTTTTTGAAGAATGAAAGTGAAAATTTTACATTTTCGTGTTTATCTTCCACTGCTTGATCTAATGCTCAAGGGATGCGACATGGATTTGTATATTTCTGGTTGAGATGATCAAGTCATAATAGGATTTTTATGAGAGTAAAGGATGATATCGGCATCAGATGGATAGAACCCAAACTGTCAGTCAAAATAAAAAGGATTTATCACAGGGAATTATTCTTTTACAAAATCGGTCGTGTGGCGGAAATCAATACGATTATTCATTATGATTCCTGCCTATTGTTCAAGTCTGTTAAACAAATAACTGTTAGTCAAATAGGACAACAAAAAACAAGCGAATTCCACCAATATTTCGGAACTGACAAAACAAGTAATAAATAAAATTGAGGTTTAAGATACAGGGTCCACGACTAATCAGTGTAACTGACGTCTTGTCCAGCCCTTGCTGAATATGGTGGCTTTTTTACGATTTGCTATAAGCCGGATTTACCAAATACGAAGAATATTGTGACTTTTGCTTTATAAAGAACGATAGCACAAGAAATAAAAAAGGAATAAAATTTGTCCTAGGAAATAAAACATCTCAGAAACTTGCCCTTTCTAATCTTAAGATATTTAAGAAATAACCTTCCAGTCAGACATCGCACGAATGAATACTCTTTTGGCGAACGGTTTTGCATATTTAAAACAATCCATTTAGTGGCCTATTGACCAAATTACTTCTTTCAATTAATTAATCTTTTTATCTAACGTTTTGGTTGAAATGAAAAAGTAAGTGTCACGAGCGGGATTCGAACCTACGACCTTCGGCTCAATACGCCGCTGCTCTAACCACTTGAGCCATCGAGATTTCGATCCACTCCACTTTCAAACAATGTTTGTCGTTCGAATATATTACTATTAACAATTCATGTGATTTTTATCAGGTCTACTTGCATGGTTTTATGTTTATAATGGCTTTTTCCTTTTATATGCTTTTCTATTAACCGCTTTCTCTACAAAAATGTATAAAATTAACCTTAAATCTAATCTCCAATGTTACAAGAACAAGAGAAATAAAGTACAGAACTGGAAGTATTTAGCAAGTTTTTTCTTCGGAGTCACTGGTGACCATCCTTCCTTTCCTCTACTGGGACCTAAAAGATCTATTGTAGAATTGACCCTTTTCAATCCTCGAAAAGTGCGCTGACCTTAATGCAGTTAAGCACTTTCTATATAGAAGAGTTAGTTTAAGGTTATACTTGGAGGTCACGAGACCACGGAGGATTGTGATAGTGGGTTGGCATGGAAGGAGTGGAATTTATAAAGTGATGTCCTTAGTTGACAGGATATATACCTGATATTTTAATAAATAATTGTTTACGGTTCCTAAGGATGTGATAAAAGAGATAAATATATAATGAGATAAAGTTGCATATCGTCAGATTCGTAGTCGTCTGACTATGTTCTTCATCGTCAAAATAAATTAAAACATGTCTTTTATTAATGAAAAGTGTGACGTTTAGGTGACATTTTTTACATTGAACATTTCGATCGAATCAGAGCGAATCAGTTTAAATTAAACAACGTGAATTAAACGATATTCGTGAGGTTTTGAACCTGTTTCCACTGCATCTAATTCTTTTGAATTGAATGATCATTTGAGTAGGAATTGTTCAGGAGTAATTAATTTGAAATAAAAAAATTGTTAATTAATCAGGTATTCTGGATGTTTTCAAAATTAAAAATTCCAATCTAACAATTAATTTTAACTGATAATGTGTAAGTACACACAAAAGATTAAAAAAATGATTTTCCCACTGTTCAAGGTTATAATGAATTGTGTCCACTTTTCGCCTTTAGAGTCCATAGTGTTCTGCACAAAACCCTCAAAAATGAAAAAACCACCTAAAGAAGCTTTACCAAACCATTTTGCTATTTGTAGTGCAATTCTGACATAACGTATCCTTTATTAATGAAAATATTTTTCAAAATGATTCAATTCTTTTTTTGTGTGTAAATGATTGTGTAACTCACAAATTAGTTGTTTATAACGAACCGGATTTCGAGCATTAAACGCTCATCATCAGTTTGAATAAATTACAAACGGCTCTCTTCTCTCGACGTGAATTGTAAGAGTGACTTGCCGATTCACCGTCAATGCGACTTATCAATGAAAAGATTTCTTTTTTTTTTTACATTTCTCAATTTTGAAAGTACGAAAAAAACATGAATTACAACACAATAATATGTTGTGATGTTAACTATAATCCAAAACATCTAAAAATAACAATGCCATCAAGTGTAAAACATAAACAACAATAAAGTATAAACAGCAAAAAATAATAAAAAATAAGAATAACTAATAAATAAATTTATATAAATATGGCAAAGCTAAAACAATAGCAAAATATAAATATCACATGTACAACACACAAGCGCTTTTATCATTAAGGAGTGAGATATTTTTCATAGGGAGAAGTTACATGCTTTATCATTGTCTTTACATTATATTATGCTTTATTCTCCTATGTTTCCACGAAACTGTGGTATATCTCCTTACCGATTTGCAGATTGCATTTTGGCTAATGGAGAGAGGTGCAAAAAAAAAAAAAATATTGAGTTATATTGTTATAGTTCAGTAAACAGTGATTTCTGGTTCGAGCTATTTTTAGGAGCTGTTGTTAGTATCCTATGAATGATATTGCCAAAAGAAACTGTGTAAAAAGACATTTTTTTTATAGAACAATAAAAATTAACTCCTTATGCAGAGAAAGGTTGCTCGATGTGTCCCACATAACAGGAGCTCCATACAGAGAGCGTGTAGGCATGCCGCCTGATTTAAGAAGAGTCTTCGAACACATTGGCGAGTTTCAGGGTCCCCTGTTCCGCTTGTTAGGGGAATTGGGAATTTTTTATTGTGTCTTATATGAGTGAATGCATTTATTGGTGTGAATGGGGTGGGGCTGATGGCGAAGTAGCTTCTCCGTGGCCTCTCAGGTTGTGTGTATGACTTCGGCCGACGGCGGAAATTTTATAAAAATACTCCATCGACCCCAATTTAGATTAGCTTACTATAGTAAACAGGTAGATGGAGGAATATCGAGTTGTCCATCTCCCAAACTGAATAAGTGTAATCAATGTATGTTGGTGTGAATGTATTTATTGGTGTGAATGGGGAGGGGGTGACGTAGCACCTCCATCACCCCTCAGGTTGCGTGCGTGAATTGGGTCTACGGCGGAAAACTTTTAAAGTACCCCATCGACCCCAAATTAGAGTAGTTTATTGTAGTGAACAGGTAGATGAATATAGAGTACTCCATCTACCAAACAGTATGAGTGTGATCAATGTATATAGGTATGTATTAATTGGTGTGATTGTGTATCGAGTGTGTAGCGGTATTTCGGTAGTGCTTCGGGGCTGAAATGACCAAGCTGTCGGATAATCCTGTCAAAAAAAAATTTAACAACGATTTTTCAAAATTCGATAAAAAATAGTTTTTTTTTTAACTTTCGCCCAACTGTACGCTGGCCTTGATATCCAAAAACATTTCTTCCCTTTTTAAAAAAGATAGTTCCTACTCACATTAAGTTGTTTCGCAACAATCCTGATGTCGAGCCCTTTAGCTTATCGTCAGGTTGAAGGGTTTCCACAACCACGTCTCTGGACATGAATTGCAGAAGTGAACCCCCTGATACCCCCGCCAACGCGACGTTCCAATGAGGAGCTGGGTTTTTAACGGCGCTCAATTTGAACGTGCGAAAAGCGGAAATTATAACACAAATAACAATTGTAATAGTAAATACTGTAAGAAATTAATTGTAAATTAGTGATTAAAGATTAAAATAATAATAATAATAATTAGAATAATAGCTTAATAATATTAAATTATTATAAAACATAATAACAATTAGAATAATTAGTTTAATTATTTGGACGTTTCATATTATTTGTATACATATTTAAAATGGGAGGTAGATCAAAACATATTATATTATTAATGCATTTATCACCATGTTCAATTTTACATTTTTTAATTTCAAATTTCTCAAACCAATCTAGTTCTCTCCCTTTGTTGAAACTATGTAACACTGTTGTATTTAAATTTGAATTGAAATTATGTTTTGTTTCTTTTAGATGGTCCTTGAATTCCGAAAATTTGTTCGACTTAGGCGTAGGGAGAAATACTCTAGAGAAATAAAAACGAGAGTAAAAGAACATTTTCGAATCCGTTTCATTTTGAAAAAATATTTTCATTAAAAAAGAATACGTCAGAATTGCACTACAAATAGCAAAGTGGTTTGGTAAAGCTTCTTTAGATAGTTTTTTCATTTTTGAGGGTTTTGTGCGGAACACTATGGACTCTAAAGACGAAAAGTGGTCACAATTCATTATACAACATTGAACAGTGAGAAAATAAGTTTTTTAATCTTTTGTGTGTACTTACACATTATCAGTTAAAATTAATTGTTAGATTGGAATTTTTAATTTTGATCATTCAATTCAAAAGAATTAGATGCAGTGAAAACAGGTTCAAAACCTCACGAATATCGTTTAATTCCTGCTGTAAAATTCACCACATTTTCTAATTTAAGCTGATTCGCTCTGATTCGATCGAAATGTTCAATGTAAAAAATGTCATCTAAACGTCACACTTTTCATTAATAAAAGACATGTCTACGAATCTGACGATATGCATCTTTATCTAACATATTTATCTCTTTTATCACATCCTTAGGAACCGTATACTATTATATATTAAAATATCGGGTATATATCCTGTCAACTAAGGACATCACTTTATAAATTCCACTCCTTCCATGCCAACCCACTATCACAATCCTCCGTGGTCTCGTGAACTCCAAGTATAACCTTAAACTAACTCTTCTATATAGAAAGTGCTTAACTGCATTAAGGTCAGCGCACTTTTCGAGGATTGAAAAGGGTCAATTCTACAATAGATCTTTTAGGTCGCTGTAAAGGAAAGGAAGGATGGTCACCAATGACTCAGTGATTGAACTCCACACTCACCCCATCATTTATAATTTCTAAAAACATTTCTTATCTCAAACAAGCGATTGGGGAAGAAGGACAAAGTTGGGAGTATACTATTAAATTTGAAAAATTGCCGAATTCGTAGGCAGTCAAATGGGTATATGACATTCAGAAAGCAATAATGCTTGTTTATAACGGCAGAAAACAAATCCAACGCTCAAACGCGATTAGTGTTTGTCATGTTTCTTATCTATCATTAAAGTAATACATTTTTGACATAGGGTTAGTGTTTCATAAATTATCGATTGGCATATAAGGAAAGTTAGACGTACAATTTATGTCTAGCGACCTAATTCGTCTTCTTGATTTGTTTCTTTTTTAAATAATTCATTTGTAGGTTTTTTCCTGCTCGACAATGCGTCTTATTACAGTATCACAAATGTAATATTGAAACTTTCTCATTTACAGCGATCTATGAAATCCGAAAGTCGACTGATGTATTGTCATCTCGAAATGACCAAATCTCGGTTTAGCATTGAAACACCAATTTTTATCAGTTTTATATAACAACTTTAATTAATTAGTTCAAGTGGAAGGCACTTGTTACGGCCAATAATAGAAAACAACACAAATCTTGGTTACTTTATGGAGATAAGCAACCCACAGAAATTTTTCTAACTTTGAACCCTCTGGCTCTCGTCCTGGAAATGCAGTTTCGGAAAAACTTCATTGTAATAAAAACCGAAATTGCCGAATCGATTACATAAGTTACATATATGGACAGGTGCAAAAAAAAAAAAAAATACTCACCTTTTTATTTGTTTTTAATATTGCATAGACGTCTTGGTGGGGATTGACTCTTATCACTCTTATCGTTTATTTCTTACATTAGTCAAAGATTTTCACATTTCAGTCCTGATGTGAAGCTTAAGCGTCACAGCTGTTTTACTTTGTTTCAAACTAGCGAGTTCGACACGCAGGTTTATTCTTGAATTATGATTTAAAATTAATTGTTGCATGGAGTTGTGTTTTTATGTCTTCGTTCATTAAGGGATTGTACGATTTAAAAAAAAAAATTATGCCAGAATTTGTATGAAAAGAAATAATTTGATATTGATTTAATATTTTTTTTATTACTATTAGAGATTCTTTAGAGATATTTTAAATTTTCAGTTTCGAAGTATTTTGACTGGTTAAGAACAATGAACGGTTACTTTTTGCAACATGGAATTCCCCGAGTCAATTTTCTCCCTTGGCTTACTAATCAGCAGTTACTGCGAAGGCTGAAAACCCGATAACAAACGTCTATATCGTGAAAGTGGGGAAAAATATAAAAAAAAACATTCGTAAACCAACCTGGGTTTATTATATTTCTAAGTCTAGAAAAATCGTGCTTAATTAAAAAAAAAAAAGTGTACCCTACATATTGATTATAAAGACCGGACAAGTTTTACAAGGCTATCGAATTTCATTTCGGGCGAGGGATTGATTAAAAAAGAAAGGGAAAAGTTGTGTGAATCCCAGTTCTAGACCATGGCCACTCCTTCATCCTCAGTCATCTCCTATCTTTTGTATCGGCGGCATCCTTTAGTCATCGTATGATTCGAACATTTCGAAGTTTTCAGCGTACCAGTGAGTACCTAATGACAAAAGAATGGACGACCAGTAAGTTTTTTTTTTCATCTCATCCGAAATCGTGGACTTTTTGAATTGACCCTTTTAATAACATCTATCTTGAATTGTAAGAACTTTTTATTAAATTACACTTACTCTTTGTTTATTGATGATGGATTATTGGTTAAATTTTCATAATTAAAAAAATATGGGTCAAAATTGGCCGATAGAACACTTACTTATAACTACACGGGCAATAAACCATTTTGGCCTTAATCCCGTCAACGCTACAATTTGCACTAACTACCTAGACAGTATCGTTTATCAGAGCCGCTCAAATAAAGATCATATAATGAAGGTTTTTTTAATTTCAAAGCAAGCAGACTACAGTGATTTTTTACAATTTGATTAAACAAAATTATTAACGAAAACTTTTTGTCTTGTTCGTCCTCATGGTAATCATCTGGCATACTTTTTAAATAAAACTTTGTAGGCGAGTGTGTGTGTGTGTGTTTGTGTTTGTGTGTGTGTGTGTGTGTGTGTGTGTGTGTGTGTATAATGATTTGTCTTCACTAATAGATAGGCAAGTAATGAATCTTTAAGTTTAAAAATACAAAACTAATGTGTGGTGATTAATGACCGTTAATCGATATTTATTTAGAAATCGTGAGATGCGGTCTGGTGTGATCTAGGTTTCAGAAAATCATTTTCTTTATCGTGCCAACGTTTACTTGGATTGAATCTAAAATTTCTAGAATTTATAAATTCATTTTTTTCACATCCTACATGTATTTGTAAAATTGAAACAATGTTTATAAATCCCAGGCCCTGAAGATGATCTCAATAAAGATCGAAACGTTGGCACGATAAAGAAAATGTTTTTCTGAAACCTACGTCCCACCAGACCGCATCTCACGATCTTCAAATAATCATTAACTAACGATCACTAATTTATTTTATTTATTGCTACCTGCATAAAACATACATTGAGAAAATAGTACAGTTATATACAAATCTGACAAATCTCTCAGGCCATGAGGCAGACTAGGTGAAACCAAGAGATGCGGTCTGGATCTCACGATTTCTAAATAAATATACAAAACTAAGTTTTTCAGAAGGAAGAGAGTGCTCATTGTAATTCTAGGAAGAACACCTGCATCGTAGAATTGCAATATGATAATTTCCAATAACTTATGTGCATGCTTGTACACTGGGTGTCCCATAGACATCAATAGTTCAGGCAGTATCCTGTATGTCAAATTGGGCTAAAAAGTCCCCGTGTTCAAAGTCTGATTCTCAATTGTATTCGAGTTTACACTTTTCAGGTCGGTCAACCTGTCAAAATCCTAATGTAAATACGATTAATTATAGCAATTGAAAGTGTATTGTAAATCCAGTGAGATTAATTTGTTTTAATTGTAAACATAAGAAAAAAGCTTAGAAGTGTCCAAAGTTTTTGTCTTTTGCTTGAATAAGATTTTCATAGTTCTGTAAATATTGACAGATACAGATATGACATATACAGAAAAGTTGCTTGTACTAATGTATATGTAACCAATGCAAAAATAAATATTTAATAGCTAAAAATTAGACGGTTTAGTTTTTAAGACCTAAAAGTACCTTTTTGGCACAAAATATTGAATATAAGAAAAACAAAAAGCTTAAAAAAATTAAGTTGTTCAATATTTCTACCTTCTTGAAGAAAATAAGCCTGATACTTTATTTCTCCGAAGCTTTTTGTTTTGAATGCATTTGATGAGTTGAAATATGTAAAAGAAAGTCGTGGTAGGTTGAACTAACCTGAAAAGTAAAATATCTCGAATACAAATGAGAATCAGACTTTGACCAATAGGGACTTTTAGTCCCATTTGACATGTACGATACTGACTGATATATTGAAGTCAAAAGACAGTCTAGACATTGTGGCACAGTTCTCCCTTCTCTTGTCCCGGGATATCTCCCTGATATGGTAGAGCGGTCTTATACTTTAATTAAATAAATGGTCCAGTTTCAATTCAAAGCTGACATCGTTGGCTTACAATTGGTTTTTATTGCTCAGCGGACTTCATGCGGGAGAGGAATGTTGTTGAGCTGGTCGTAGATCTAAGCGATGGTGAATAGCTGGATTTGGTGACTACTTGAGTTCATGAGGACTTAAGCTCCAACCTCAGACTGGGGACTCGGACGGCTGATATGACTGCTAAACGCAGACCACCATTGATGAACAGATACAACACCTCTTTGACTTACTGACTCCAACTATCATTTTATCTGAATCTCTACTGTCTTTGGTACAGGTCACTCTCTCTTAGCCTGGAGCGGCCTCATGCTTCATGCTCTCTTAGCCTCATGCTTCAAACCTTGTATGGCTAGACCTCGGAAGGTTCTTGCTGATGAGGATGTGAACGTGAACTTTTGCTTGATTCTTGGATGAAACGGGTGTTTACGAGCCGTGAAGAGGACGTAGACCTCAGGCACTAGCTGGCTAGAACAATATATGAAATTTGATTAGCACTGATCATTTTGGTCTGCCTACCCTCACTGGTTTGGCCATCTTGTCATTTTGCATCTTCATTTTTGCTATTTTTTTATTACTTTAGCTATCGTCTAGCTCATAAACAAGAGTGAACAATAAACCAAATATACCACTGAAGATGGTCTGAATTGTCAAAACCAAGCGAGGATAACCAGACCAAAATGATTGGTAATAACCAAATTTCAGGTATATCTACTCGCAGAAGACAAGGACAAATTTCTATTGTACATAAATAACATACTATTCGAACTTTATTTATTTACACACTACTTTACCTAAGCCTTATCTCGTTTACAAATACAACAAATAACAGATAATTACTGTATAAGTAGGACAAACTATTTGGTAAAGACGATCGGCATTCAATAAGTAATTTGTGCAAGATGTAACATTTACAGCGACGTATAAAAAAAAGAACCTAAAAGAAAATTTTCGAACAGAAACCGGTCAGTGATAATGCTAGTGATGATTCAATTGATTTTATTTAAATGGAAATGGCCGACGTTTATGTACATGTTGGCTGAATGAGATTAGCGACTGTTTCTGAGTCTCTAAGTCGGTTATCTTTTTTGCCTTGAAACGTTTCGACGACCTCTAATGCCGTTTAAAAAATGGAGTCGATAACTGTAAATTCCCCTGAACAATTAAATTTACATAAATGTTTAAAATTTCTCTAAAAATTCTGCCAAAAATTCACTTCAATGTGCTTTTCATCATTGAGATGATCATAAAAAAAGCGAATTTCTTACTAATTTAAATCAATTTCTTTGAAGAGTAGTACAAAATATAAATAAGCATTGAGAGAATAAAATGAAATGAAAAACAAAACGAAAATAAAATTAAAAACGTCGTAAAACCAAAATACTGCTAAAACGTAACGCGTTTTCACCAGTTTTTTAACAAAGGGAATAAAAAGTTATTGTATAACTGTAAATTTTGATTTAAATAAAAAATTGTACAAATTGTAAATAAAATTGTGATATTTCTCTATTTAATCTGTGGGTGATAAATCTATAATTTTCTCGTTACATATAATTTTAGTTTGCCTGTCCTTGCTGTGGTGACTGGTTGTCTGTCAGACGCATTTTGGTATTTCGCCAGGGCTACAATGCTCATAAAAATGTGTTTTATAAAATGTTAATAAAATAAATAATGCCTCTATTGTTTTTTAAATTAGTACAATGGACAATAGCTCTTTCCCAAAGGATTGTGTAATATTTATAAACTACATAGTTTCTTGATTTTATAGGGTTTACGTTATTCCAACAAAATATGGATTGCTCAGAACCGAACTAACCTTCTGTTTAATATTTTATAATAAAAAACAACGAACAGTCTTTCTTTTACATCTATATCTTTCTCTGCCCATCTCTTTAACACACAGTCACTCTCTACACGCTCATTCTTTTTTCTTTAAACTATTACAAACGCATACAAAGCCTCTCTTCTTCTTGCTTTAACACATACTATCTCTCTGTTATTATCTATCTATCCATCTATCTCACAAACACACTTTCTGTCGTATAAATTTTTTTATTTTAAATGTCTAACACACACACACACACACACACACACACACACACACACACACACACACACACACACACACACACACACACACACACACANATACACATTCACACACACTTTCTCTCTCTCTCTCTTTCCCTCTTTCTTTCTTTCACGTTATCAATTTCCCAAACACTCACACAAACTCTTTTTAACATACACTCATATTTTCTTCCTGTTTCAATTTTTCTATCAGGCACAATCTTCCTCGATTTAACTTTCATCCTCTGTCTATCTTTTTTACACACTTATTGTATGCACTATTTCAATTTCTCCAACACACACACACACTCTCTCTCTCTCTTTCTTTCTCTCTTTCCCTCTTTCTTTGTTTCTTTCTTTCACTCTATCCAAAACACTCACGCAAACTCTTTTTAGCATACACTCATAATTTCTTCCTGTTTCAATTCTCTATCACACACAACTTCCATAACATATACACAATCTACTCTCTCTATTTTTCTCTGGTATTCACTATTTCTCTTTTTCTATTACAATAGCTATCTTTACTTCCCTTAACATATCTCTATCTCTTTCTCACTTTTACTCACACTCACTCTCTCTGTCTCCGTTTTACCGTCTACAGGATTTCTCTTATCAGCTCTCTCCCTTTTTTAGATAGATATTCTCCAACCCAATTAATTTTTGCTGTTCATTTTCTCTCTCTAATATTTTTACCTCTTCAAAATTCATATTCTCTCCTGCATTTTTTATATATCTATATAAATAGAAGTACATCTCTATAAATATGGAAAAACACAACATTAATATATAACAAGACAAAAAGTATGTAAACAATACAAAAATCTTTTAACAATATGTGCAAATAATGTAAAATGTAATAACTAAAAATGTAACAATGTGAAAAACATAAGTTATTGCTAACAATATTCTTTCATTAGACTTTCTTTCCAATGTCGGTGTTCCTTGCAAACTCTAAGCAATCCCGATTATGGTCTCCGGTTAGCGCTGGCCTTCTGGGAAATAGGCTTAATTCTGCACGTCTCCATACTTTTTCAGCGTTCATGGACATACACCGCTCAGTTTGAAGTCTTCTGTTTCAGAAGCAGTGGAAAAGAGCGAAAAATCGGTCGTCAGCAGGTCCCACGGATCTTGGGTGTTCCTGATCTCGGAGTACACCTTGCATTTTCCTGTTACCTCCGAATGCCCGACAACCGTCCTTTTTTCCTTTTTTTCTCAACCCAGTACACACTGGAATCGAGGAATTTTCTTTCTTATTTCTTCTTGATTACTTTTATCCTCACCGAGTTCTATGGCACGGGTACTTGCCAGCTGATTATGGACATTTTTGTAGTTCCCACCGTCGCCTCTGGCCCTTTTTCCACAATAACCCCCCCCCCAAAAAAAAAAAAAAAAAAAAAAAAAAAATTTGAACACACATATACGAATTGTCACATGGCTAATATGCATAGTTCATAACGCCAAAAAGAAAAAAAAAATGCCTTTGTTGATGATTTTCATTGTGGGGATTTTAAATCAAATCATGAATCGGTTTTACCTCGCGATCGGCGACAAAAATAAATCCTATTCTTCTAATTATAATTAATAACTCATTTTTAAAGTACTAAAACAAACAATATGTCCAAAACATAATTAAATAAAAAAAAAAAATCGGAATTTCAAAGTGCACCACTTATTTTTGTGGAGCGATGCATTTGAAGCAGTTTTTTTAAAACCAAATCATTGCTTTTCTACAGAATCGTTACACCCATGTTTTAAATTTTTTTAAAAAATTTACCTCGCCTTATACCATGCTAAAATTATACCCGCCCTTCGTTTCCAGAAAAACAGAAGAAAATCCATTAAAATGAAAACAAGGTGTAGCATGAAATCGTTAATTTTTTTATCAGCGTTATTTTATTTTTCTTGGTGCGTTTCGAATTTCCTCAACGTTTAGTTTAGTGCAGTTTATTCGGTTCAGATGGCTGGCAAGAGGCAAACAGCGAAGAGAAACGGAACCAGGGATGTTATTTAATCGTAGAAAACATGAAACGTTTTATCATTGAAATATCAGTGTTTCTGTCAGCATTTAGGTAGTTTTTTCTAGTTTTTCTAGTTTTTAAATAATTGATAACCAATCTTTTTAAGTATCATCAGATATATGCGTGACTGAGGCTGTAATTATTTTCTGTATTGCATTTCCATTAAAAAGTTTTACTTTTTCTGTGTTTAGTTTAGGGGATCAGGAAAGTATTCACGATTTAAATGAAGTGATTATTAAACAATAATATAACGTTAACAATATGCATTTGTATTATTAAGAATCCAATGAATTCAAAAATCTCTGTTACAATTAACATTTTTATGAATAAATAAATCTGCAAATTTTGTAAAAAGTATATAAAACGAGTTATAACCGATTAAGTAAATACAAAAAATAGCTGTTATCTGATAAAGGTGCTTGTTGCATAAAAGTGGAATTTTAGACGATAATAAATCTTCGAAATCGAAAGAATTGATCGTTGATACAAAATCAAGAATACAACGAATTTATAAGTTTATAATAAAATAAAATTGTTAAATTAAATATTTGTGCCGTTTTATGTTGTTTTCATCTTTGTATAGTTAATATTTGAAAGTATGGCCTGTACTTATGAGTATGTAAACTTAATTTGTGTAATTAACTTATTTCATTTTTAGAACGATGCCTGTCGAATCCCCATCTGGGGCCGAAAAAGTCAAACGACTGCAGGGTACCGACTCTCAGAATGAACTGCTGGAAGTTAAAGTCGTGATACCAGAATCGACAAACGAAGTACGTTTTAAAAACCAATTGTGAATATTTTATTCGACTGCTAAATAATCCAACGCGGATTTTCCTCTATCAGAGGATGTTCAGTTTTAGGAAATTATGGGCTTTCACTGGCCCTGGATTTTTGATGAGCATCGCTTTCCTCGACCCAGGCAACATCGATGCTGATTTGCAATCGGGTGCTCAGGCCAATTACGAGGTAATTAGCATAATAATTGACAACCGTGACAAGTAAGTATCGACATTTAATTAATTTTTCATAATTAATTGATAAATTAAAACAATAATGCCCAGTTAGTAATAAGAAAATAATGCATTACAATTTTTTTCTCATTTTTATGATGTTCATTTTGCAACTTTCGCTTATTTTCGAAAAAAAAATCTTTGGACAAAATAAACCAATATCAAAACTTTTTGCTGAAAGCTCTGGAACGCATGACTTAATTTGATGTGTAACTTCAGCTCATTGGAATTTGTAAATAATTTTTGATGGTATTTACTCATAGTTTATGGTTATTTAGAGATCGAATTTAGTAAGGAAGAGGTGAAAACAGAAACAATCAGTCCATTTTTGTTTTTATTTGAGAGTTTTCCAATTCCAATAAATCGTGAAAAAAAAGAAAGAACTATTTGACTACATCATCTAATACTTCAAAGATGAAGGGAGAAACAATAGTTTTTCTGGAAGTAATGAAGTAAATGTTACTTTATACCGTGGCCATTGAACATTCTGCCCAAGAAATCAAAAAGTAAGGCAACTACCTCATTCGAAGTAAAGTGCTCAGCTATTTGGGGACAGATCAAGGCCCTGTCAGACATTCGGAAAATAACAAAATTAACCTTGTTTGTGTACCAAGGCATACTGGGCAGAGGTGGCAGAGGTTAGGTCATCTATTGGTCCTGAGCCCTTCTACGCCCTATCGAATTGCCAAACACGTAGTTTCATCAAAAATGGGCTAAGACTCGTCGGTTCAATGGGACTGTATTGCAGAGGGAAAAATTCTTCATAGTACCATTGCATTACCCACCCATTAAACGTGGGATGTGTTAGATCCAGACTGGACTGCTGACTGCTTACGAATCGGAGGCAGCAACAATCCTGTTCAGATAACGTCAGGAAGAAGAAAAAACCGCGGAACATGTCCTGTTGCGGTGCGAAGTACTACGCAGGCTTAGATTCATACTCCTAGGAGAGGTAAAACCAAGACTTGGAAGATAAGAAGGAATGACAAAGTTTGGGATATGGTAAAAAGCCTTTAGTCTAACGAAGAGTTCTAGACAATACGGAGTTCATAGAACGATTTGGCCATGGCGGTCTAGGATGGAAAGAGGCTGACCCGTTTTACCTTCAAATCAGTATGATATTTGATGAGGATCGAAATGGAATAATTTGTCATTAACCGATTATTCTTAGAAATGGATTTTTGAACGCCATCAAATACGTTTTACTCTTTAGACGTTTATTAAATTATAGGTTCACTTCAGACGTCAAAGAAAAGAGGAAATTGAACACATGAACTGGGGAGACCTACATCAACCACCTATTTTTGATTGAAAAATCGATAAATTATTTGAAGTAAGCGATATTTGGGCAAAGAGAGGAACGAAACTTTGCACGAGAAATGATTAAAACTTAAAATGTATCCAGATACTTTTTCGAAATTGTCTTTATTTTGTATGATCACTTAACACAGTACATATCTTCTTAGCTTCAGCTTAGACAATGTATAAATAATATTTGTTTAATGTAATTTTTATTTGCTTTCTGAACTTTTATCACGGCACTTTTTACGACTGTAATTATAATATCTCCGCTTGACCTTATCACAAATTTACGATGTTGGGTGGATGAAATTAATAAGAAGAGGGGAAAATTATGAAAATACCAACGCTCAATTATTTAAGTATATAATTATACTTCATCATTTTTCAAATCATTTATTTTTAACGACACACAAACTCAATCTGTGTCTCCAAAGCGAAATTATTCCATTACATGGCACTAAGGTTGCGAAATGAAGGGTGAATTTTCAGGATTTTTGTAAAATTTTGCCTATGCTTGATACCGATGAGGGAAATTCATTTGGATGGAAAGTATGTGGTTCTAAGGACAAAACTATGAAAGTATTGGGTTGTAAGATAAGACCAAAGCGTTGTTTGATGGTAAATTGAATGAAATTTTCAGATACTTGTATATCAATATATGAACAATACGTGTCCCCATCTTTTTTGCAATGTCTTAAATCTGCCCTCCCAGAACTTCTTTTTTCAGTCCTCAAATGAAGTATAGTTTTCCAATTAAAAGAGTTTTGAACAGCTAGAAATAAGTGAATCCCAAGTATGGTTGGTGGGGTGCACATCCAAGGCAATTTCTGGCGAATGTGCAAAAGTAGGTGGGAGGGAGGTTATCTGGTGTAAAACAATCCTCTTATAGCCAATGCCGTTTGTGGTCAATTGGGAACTTGAATCATTCCAATTGTATACAGTATACAACAGAATAAATGGCTTTGTTAAATAAAGTACCCCAGTCCAATCCCACCACATAAGTGCCTTCTGGGATGTTAACAGTGGGTCGCTGCGTTTTCCACATAATTTTCCTCTCTTAATATTATTGTAAAGGATCCAGTTTTCATCCCCTGTTTTCAATCTTTTAACAAATGGTAAACAAATTTCGTACGTGATGGGATTCGTAGATGGAGCTGCGTTTTAATAAATTCTTTTCAGCCAACATAAAAGCCTATCACTCTGACAAACATGCTGTTGCTCTTAGATGCGTTGAAACCCTTGTATGAGATGTTCTGTGTTTCTGTGATGTCTCGTGTTGTTAAATGTGGGTTATTACAAAAGCTTGAGTTAAGTCCAATTAAAATTTCAGCTTCTGAAATGAGCAAAACACTTACGAACGGTGCTTTTTCCTATAGCCCATAAAATCACAAATTTTCCTAGCAGTCTGAGTTACAGCTTTCGCTTTGTGGTAGTAAAAAACTCTTTAGAGGAAGAAAAATGGAAAACAAAAAAAGTTTACTTGAAAAATAATTGGTTTTTAGACTTTAAATATTCACATTTAATTTTTGCAAGAAGAATGGCGAAATAGGGGACCGCGGTAGCCGAGTGGTTAGCATGAGAGACTCTCACGCCGCGGTCGTGGGTTCGATTCCCACCGTCGCCTCTGGCCCTTTTTTCACAATAACCCCCCAAATTTGAACACACATACAGGAATTGTCACATGGCTAATATGCATAGTTCATAACGCCAAAAAAAACAAAAACAAAAAAAAAAACAAAAAAACAAACAAAAGCCATGTTATTCTGTCGTAGAATGAAATTTTAAACTTTCCTTATTGTTAAATTATTTCGGCTTTGTTGGAATTTATTCTCACTGTAACAAAAAATCACATATTTCATGTAAGTAGTGGGACTTAATAATTTTATATATTTTATTTAAAGTTTCATTTTTTTAACGGTTTCACCCCTCCTAGTTTTTTGATTCTCCCTTTGGAATTTAACTTTGTATCTTCCACGGAGCCATTTTCAACCTCGTTTTAATTAAAAAATTCACCCCGCCACGCCGAATTTTCCACCCATTCCTGAAATATTTCGCCGGTTATAAAACAAAGTTGAAGTTTTAAATTGATTTCAATTAATTAATCTTTAATTAAGGTTTTGGTTGAGATAAAAAAAGTCATTGTCACGAGTGGGATTCGAACCCACGACCTTCGGCTAAATACGCCGCTGCTCTACCACTTGAGCTATCTATCGTGACTTCGATCCACTCGGACACCAACTTCCCATCTCAACCCACCTTTTGAAGTTTCCCTTCTTTTTGCCATTTTTCTCGGTGACAAATGAAGGAAAAGGCGACAAAAAGGAGGGAAACTTCAAAAGGTGGGGTTGAGATGAGAAGTTAGTGTCCGAAGTCACGATAGCTCAAGTGGTTAGAGCAGCGGTATGTTTTGCCGAAGGTCGTGGGTTCGAATCCCGCTCGTGACACTTTTTTTTATCTCAACCAAAACCTAATTAAAGAAATTTATAATGAATAATCTTCACCATTTTTGTTTTACGAATTTGTTGATCTTTGTTTTCAGCTATTTTGGGTTTTGTTCTGGTCGACAGTACTTGGATTGCTTATCCAAAGGCTTGCCGCTCGCGTAGGAACGATAACGGGACAGCATTTGTCGGAAATCTGCTACACCGAGTACAGAACTGTGCCCAGGATTTTTCTATGGCTCATGATCGAGATTGCGATCATAGGATCGGACATGCAGGAGGTCGTCGGAACGGCTACAGCAATTTACCTTCTCTCCAGCGGGAAGTAGGTGAAAAGAAACGATTCTTTTGAAATTTGTTGTAAATGCTTTTACTGATATTTCTTTTATCATAACCTCATAGAGTGCCACTTTATGCAGGAGTTATAATAACAGTATTTGACACACTGACATTTCTTTTCTTGGACAAATACGGCTTGAGAAAACTAGAGATGTTCTTCGCTTTGTTGATAACCATTATGGCTGTAACATTTGGCTACGAGGTCAGTGTCGTTTGTACAATTTTTTTTTGTCATAATTGGCTAGTGCAATGTAGAATTTTTGTTTCAGTTCGTCGTCGCAAAGCCAGACGCGGCGAGCATTTTCGAAGGTATCGCCATCCCACGTTGTACCAATTGCAAAACGGACAAAATCCTCCTCATGATCGGGATCGTCGGATCGTGCATAAGCCCTCATAACCTCTACCTTCACTCCGGCCTGGTTAAGGTATAAATTCAAATGTGACAAACTAGCTGGAAAACAATTCTGATCGAATTTTCAGTCCCGCGACATCGATAGGACCAAAAGTAGGAACATATCGGAGGCTAACTTTTACTATTTCATCGAGTGCGCACTGGCCCTGGCCGTCACATTTGTCATCAATTTATTTGTAATGTCTGTATTTGCAAAAGGTCTGTTTGGAAAGACAAACATCGATGTGGTAAGTAAAAAAAAAGTACAGTAACACGTTAAAAAAAATCATGTTTTTAATATATTTATCTGTCCAGTATGGTCTTTGTGTGGAAAGTGGAAACCCCTGGGCCTACGAATTCGTAAGTTTAACATTATATTTTACATAAAACGACAACAAAGCACGGCTATCTGTACTTTAAAATAGTTATATTAATTTTATATAACCAAAAAATCGACTGATATGCACTGACAGGCCAAAAATTCCACCCACTTGTAATATAAGTTGATTTGTACATATTTGTATATATTAATTAAGGTTTTTAGTTGAGATAAAAAAGTCAATGGCACGAGCGGGATTCGAACCCACGATCTTCGGCTTGATACGCCGCTGCTCTACCACTTGAGCTATCGTGACCTCGATCCACTCGAACACCAACTTCCCATCTCAACCACACCTTTTGAATTTTCCCTCCTTTTTGCCATTTTTGGTCAAGCGGACCACGAAACTAGTGAATTTGTATATATTAATCAAAATTTCACGTTTTGTAACGCGAAATAATTGATTCTTTGTCTAAAAAAGTTTAAAAAAAAAAGGAAATTGCTAAGGAAAATGAAAAAAAAAGATCGCAGCTCCTCTTGCCTTAATCTCATCTCGAAGACGCCTTGGCATACTTTCTACCAATCTAGAACTGTCTCTTTGCTGGAGGTTAGCCCATTCTTCACGAAGAGTCCTTTCAAGATCGTGGAGTGTACCAGGAAGTGATGGACCTGCTCTTATTCGTCTTTTGAGGTTATCCCATAAATTGTCGATGTGGTTGAGGACTGGAGAACGGGCTGGCCAGGCTAAGAACCGGATGTTATGCTTTTGAAGGCACGTTAGCACATGCAACATGTGGACGGGCATTATCGAGCATTAGAATAGGATTTTTGCTGATATCATCGAGGATAGGCAACGCTTGATGTTCCAAAATTTCATCCACATAGCGAGTGGCTTTCAAAAACCTTCACGAACAACCGCCAATTCTGTGCGACTTTCCATTGAAATTCTCACATCATCACTGAGCTACGTCGAAAAAGTTGGCTCTGGGAAAAATTACAGGCCTTGTATCTTGCATTTTGCCTTCTCCAGACTCTTTACGCTCATCTGGAGATCTTAGAGCAAATCTTCACACATATGTAAAAAGTACAGAAGACCAATCGTCCAAAGACCAATGGCTGTGCTCTCGAGCAATTAGGAGCCGTGGAACTCAGTGAGTTCTGTCCAATTCTGGTCCGGCGGTCTGGCGAAAAGCCATCAGTCCATACCGATTTAATCTTCTTCGAGCAGTGCGTTCAGAAATTTGGACACCTCGAACTTCCTGGAGGTGATGAATCGCTTGAACAACGGTAAGGTGCCGGTTGCGTAAAATTCTCAAAGTCAAAAAACGGTCATCCTGTGGTTCTGTTACTCTAGGGCGCCCAGAACCGGGCCATCTATGGTAGTAGTCAGTTTCTAACGGCGTCGCGCAGAATTTCGTATGGAACTCCGATGGCATACCTGATGGAACGTCTATCATCAATAAGAGCCACCCCACGCGCAGCATTCTCAGCACTAAGTGGCATTTTTAAGTTTACTAATTGAAATTAATAAAATAAAGATGAAATCTAAACAGTTGATTGCGTCAGAATTGAAATGAGACTGAATAGACATTTTAAATTCCGTAAAAAGTAAATATTTAAAAATCCTTCATCCTTATTTTCAATTAAGGTTTAAGTGTGTTTACCTCTACTTGAAATTCCCAATTTAAAACATAGCACAAACGAATAGTTATTAGCAAAAACAATGAGACAAATTAAGAGCAGAATTTTCTTTTATCGAGAAAAAAAATCAATTGGGTGGAATTTTTTGTCTGCTAGTATATAATAATTTTAAAATTCGAAAAGCAGAAAAAACATATTTTAACAAATTACCCAATGGTAAGATGAACACGGACAAGTGTTAATATTTTTTGATCTTGTACCACTAAAAAAATTGCATTAAGACGTTGATCAGACAATTTCCCCCTGAAAGTAGAAAAAAATGAATCAAAGTGTATCAACTTAAAGAAAGTCTGAAAAGATAAAACCACGGACTGTGGTATGCGTTCCAGCTTTTCTTATAATCAAACCCTTAAATGATTTTAATGAGCATAAACTAATGATTCTGTCTCATTCTAACCTACAAGAATTTTATCATCTTATATTAATTTGTTCTGCAGAATACCTCTAGTCTTGAACCGTACAGTCCTGTGGATGTGAATATGTACAAAGGCGGTATCTATTTAGGATGCCAGTTCGGTTTTGCGGCCCTTATCGTCTGGGCAATCGGGCTGTTGGCAGCAGGACAGAGCAGTACCATGACAGGCTGTTATGCCGGACAATTCGCCATGGAGGTATCACGCTTTTTGTACATAACGTCTTTCCCCCCCAAAACATGTCTGTTCTAGTTGTTTTTCCCAGGGGTTTCTGAAACTCACATGGAGAAGATGGATTAGAGTGCTGTTTACGAGGAGTATCGCTGTCGTGCCGTCCTTTATCGTCGCCTATTACCAGGACGTCCAGCAGTTCACTACGATGAACGACTTCTTAAACGCTTTGATGTGCATCCAGCTACCGTTCGCAGTCATTCCCGTCATAGCATTTACTTCGAATTCGAGAATAGCCGGCGAATTCGCGAACGGCATTTGCCACAAAATCATAGCACTGGGTATTTTCTTCCTGATCTTCGCCGGAAACGCGATCCTCGTCTATAAGTACATCGTCGACATAGAAACTACCTGGATACTCGTCCTGATTGGAATCTATTTCCTGATATATATCATCATGTGTATATACTTGGCACTGCACTGCTTCGCCTCCTTGACCAGCCCTGACAGCTGTATAAATAAAAACGAGGTAAGCTATAACAGATTTTTAACTATTGAAATAAATCCGGGTTAAGATATAGAAAAATGAACATAATCGACAAAATAATATTTTTAAATTGTTGCAGTTTATGAAAAAGTACATTCTAGGACAGTCTATGTTAGATTACTACGAGGAGATTGATAGGATAGAAAACAGGTATTGAATCGATAAAATTCGCTTCGTCTCGCTTTTTTCATATAATTCACAAGCTTGCAATATTTTTCGTAAATATCAATTATGCACAGTTTGAAAAGGTGACTTTTTCAAAATGATTTCGCTTCGGTGATGCTGGAAATTCGGTTAAATTGTTAAGATTAATCACTCTTTGTTGTGCATTGTAATTAAATCCTGTGCTTTTTAGTGTTGAGCAATTTTTTTTTTTTGTATCGTTGGACTATCGGAACATCGGGGGGCCGCGGTAGCCGAGTGGTTATGGCGTCAGACCCTCGGTTAGTAGATCCCGCGGTCGTGGGTTCGATCCCCACCGTCGCCTCTGGACTTTTTCTGACGCCTAAGGGGACGGTGGCCGCAATTGAAAGAAATTGACACGGCACTCATCAATGGAAGGGGCGGGATCGGATCTCAGCGACCCTGAATTTGGTCCCAACCCCCTTCAAAAATGAGTTTCTTCGATGGAAGAACACCGGCACACCGGGGGCTCAAATTCACACTTGTGTTGCGAGCCCCCATAAAATGGAGCCAGGGATAAAGTCAATAAGCTGTACAGCTCAGCTGCAGTGCTCAGAAGGGAACTGCTCCAGTCCCTGGGATCAAAAAAAAAAAAAAAAAAAATCGGAACATCAAATCAATTTGAAACGAATAATTTCATTTTATATAGTGAACATTGTGTCTTGTCGAAGTGTAAACTATTTTGTAATGTTTATGTGTTTTCTTTAATGACGAGTCGTAAGCTATTTTTACTGTCTTTGTTCTCATGGTTTCTGTTCCGTTAGAATTCTTGTAGCTGAGGATTTTAATGACACTTCGATGCCAAGTAGCCTCGACAACATTGATGAAGACGAGGGCGAAGACGACTCGCTTGTTTATTGATGTTTTGTCTTGTTTGGTAACAACTGTGATTTTGGTGTTGGGGGTAAAAGATTGTTTGCTTTTTTTCTTTAATTTAAATTTGTGTTATTTGAACAAAAAAATTAATCCTTTTATCAATTTCAGGTACGAACCGAAGTACACCATCCCATACACCCTTGACACCGGTGATCCCAAATATCGCTATTAAAAAAAAAAAAAATACAACTTTTATACATATTTTTTTATAAAAACTTTTATTTAATCAGATTCAAATTTTTGAAACTTTTTTAAAAGAATTATTTTTCGAAATTAAGTACAGATTGTAATATTCAAGCTGTAGAAAATAAACCATTTACCACAATAACTCCAATATTTTAAACCGATGTTAATTAAGCCCGGTTTTATTGAGTTTTTGTTGTTGTGAACAGTCTGTAATAAAAAATGAAAAAAAATTAAAAAAAACAAAAAAAACAAATAAACAAATTTTACTGATTCAGGTCTATATTTAGTTACTTACGTTTTCGTGTGTATAAATTTAAAATTAACGTCGATTGGTCTAGAGCAAAGTCATGCTGAAAGACATATACATAATAAAAATAATAAGTAATAAAAAAACGTTTATTTTGAACAATTTGTTTTATTCTATCTTTCACTCAAAAGTCCATGGTTATTGTCATACTAAAGGGCTTAATATTTGACTTAGTTTTGGGTGTCGCGGACAAGAGGGTCAAACCATTTTTCTGGTCGTTTATAGCATTTTCCCGTCAAATTATCCCTTATTAACTTCAAGTTAAACCTTTTTAAATTTCAAATTATCTTTTTTAACTTCAAATTAATCCTTTCTTCTTTAAGGCATGTAACAATATTTTTAAATGGAGCTTATCTCAAAGGATAAGCTAATCCCCTACAGCAGGATCGGGCAGTGCGAGCTGAGCTACGAAAGGACGAGGAAGGACTCTCTCAATTTTGTTTGAAGACACCTGCTCTTTTTACGTAAATGGCAAGGAGTTAGTTGCGTATGTCAAAGATCACATTTTTTTTTTTTTTAAATAAATGTATTCAGATTTGAAAAAAAATATGTGATCTTTGACATACGCAACTAACTCCTTGCCATTTACATAAAAAGAGCAGGTGTCTTCAAACAAAATTGAGAGAGTCCTTCCTCGTCCTTTCGTAGCTCAGCTCGCACTGCCCGATCCTGCTGTAGGGGATTAGCTTATCCTTTGAGATAAGCTCCATTTAAAAATATTGTTATAAAAATTCCCCAAAAAAACTAAAAGAAAAAAAGAGAAAAAAACAAAATGTTAATTTATTTCTATATAAGGAGTTAGTTGCGTATGTCAAAGATCACATTTTTTTTTTTAAATAAATGTATTCAGATTTGAAACAAAATATGTGATCTTTGACATATGCAACTAACTCCTTGCCATTTACATAAAAAGAGCAGGTGTCTTCCCACAAAATTGAGAGAGTCCTTCCTCGTCCTTTCGTAGCTCAGCTCGCACTGCCCGATCCTGCTGTAGGGGATTAGTTTATCCTTTGAGATAAGCTCCATTTAAAAATATTGTTATAGGCATTAAAAAAAACTTACGGTATAGTATGAAATATGAGCATGTGTTGTCTAATATGGATTGTATGTGGTTAAAAAAAAGATGGGATTTCGTGTAAAAATAAACTTTTTCATTTATCCGAAACGCTACTCAGTTCTACCCTATTTTAGATAAGAACAAATTTTATATTTTAAAAAATATCAAATTTAAAGAATAATATTTTACTTTTGCATAACTTTCCATGAGATTTTTACATGAGAAATCATTTTATATTTTTTTAAATTCTCAAATTAAAAGAAGATTCCATTTTATATATTTATTTTTATATGATTTTTAATTTTAATTGTAATTAATTTTCATATCGCCTTGTAAGAATCCAAAACTATTCTATATTAAAAAAAATGAAAAAATACAATAATCTTCGTAGAGGTGAAGAAATAAGAAGACTAATTAATATAAATGTTAATTATTAAAAATTAAAATAAATAATATACAATTAACAATTAACAAAATAAAATAATATACATACTTTCCCAAGAGTGCAGAAAACGATTAACATGGAAAACTATTGTAAAAGCGTTTTGGGTTTAAGGTTATGAAGCACAAACCCACAACACTTTTACAATAGTTTTCCATGTTAATTATTAAAAATTATGGCACTATAAGTTGCCGAAAGCTTGTTGAACCCAACAATTACTCTTCTTATTTCTTCACCTGTCTAATGACCTCTACGAAGATTGGAACTCTACATAGATTATCTGCAGGTCGATCAACAAATATCAAATATACAGTCAAGTTTACATTACTTGCTTATATTTCATACCATCTTCTGTTTTTATTAATGTTTTAAAGCAGGGGTCGGCAACCATTTTCGGACGGCGGGCCATTTTCAAATAAAATTTTTTATGCGGGCCGCACTCAAATGTAACTTAAATAGTGCTTTTATATCATATACGAGTATAAATATTATTAAAAATAAATATAGAAAAAATTTATTTTTTATTGGCATGCTATAATTACAATAATGCCAGAGAACAAAAATTTTACAATTCTTGAAAGGGAAAAAAAAGAAAATACAATTCCAATTACATATGTATAAATATGTAAATATAAAATATTAAGGAAAATAGTTTATCTTTCATTTTATTCATTCATTAAATTTCAATGAGCTTTTTGTTCTTGAATATTGTTTCATAATTCATTTAAGTCCGGTTGTGTTTGAGATACTGAGATCCTCAACAAGTTTTGTAAATTTTCATCCTCAACCTCGTTCTATATTTTGATTTTATGAAATTCATTCTCGAAAATGTTTGTTCCCATAAATAGGTGCTTGAAAAAATACAAATCATTGATTTTGCAAAATTTCTTAAATTGGGAAATTTGTTTTCAGGTAGATTTGAATAAAATGCGATTAAATTATTTTTATCAAAATTATTTTTATATACATTGTTAGATTGCAAATCAATTAACTCTAGTTGTAAATTGTCTGGTGCTTTTACAATATCAAATTTTAAAGGATTTTCAAATATTAATATGTCCATTTCTTTTGCATAAAAATCTTGCAACCGATGACGAAAATTTTCATCCAGTACTTTTAGTGACTCAATAAAAATATTCGAAGGAATGTTTGGCGTTTTTGGCTAAAAACGATTGCAAAGTAGGAAAATGACAATAATTATTCTTTTCCAGTTGAGAAATAAACAATTTTATTTTAAGCTGAAAACTTTTGATTTCTGTAAATAGCTCGTTGATTAACTTTCCTTTGCCTTATAGTGTTATATTTAATTTATTGTGGTAAGTTGTAATTACCACAAAAAAAGCTAACTCGCTTATCCATTTAAAATTTGATAATTCTGGTATATTATTTCCTTTTTCTGTCAAAAACATTTCAATCTCGTCTATCAACTCGAAAAATCTTTTTAAAACTTTACCACGGCTGGGCCATCTTACTTCAGAAAAATAAATGATATCTTCATATTCTGCGTCAATTTCATTTAAGAAATTCCGGAATGTTCGATGGTTCATACCGTTTTTGCGAAAATAATTGATGGACTTTAGTACAATATTCATAACATTTTTCAAATTTACAACTTTTGCGCAAAGTGCATGTTGATGGATAATACAACTGAAGTTGTAGAGGAGGCTGTGTAATATTTAATTCTTTCAATTTTTTATTAATCATGCCTAACAAACCAGTATTGTGACCCGTCATGTTCTTTGCACCGTCAGTTGTCACATTTTTTAATTTTTCCCACTTGAGATCGTACATAGTGAAAACATCTAATAGTTGCAAAAATATATCTTGTATTCCCATGGAGGCTTTTTAATGCAGCAAGTTCTTCTGTTACACAAAATTGTTTATCAATTCCACGGATAAAAATCAGCAATTGAGCTGTGCTAGTTATATCGTTGCTTTCATCAAGTGCTAGTGAAAAATAATCAAAATGTGAAGAATTTTCTTTTAATTTAGGGTAAAATAGGTTTCCGACTATGCTTCTGTTAGCGCGCATTTTTGTCACCGGCCACATTTCGGCACGCTCACGCTCTAAGTTTGTTGATTTTTCCTAAAATTATATTGGGCTTTGGCGGGCCGCGCAAAAAGTTGCCGACCCCTGTTTTAAAGAATGGGTTATGCATTTGTCATCAGAATTGAAGTCGTTTTTAAAATGTACGTTAAATTCTCTGTGGAATGAGTCATATGCTGGATCATTTCAGATCAATGCATGGGAGGGATAAACCTATAAAATGTGAACATTTGAAGATATTTGAAAATTTTCCAAAATTCTGTGGCGAAAGTATGTAGGGAATTTTACAGAAACTGTTTCATTTAATAAACTTTCGAATGTTATGCTTGATAAGATTGGTACATTCTTTTTTCTACAAATATACAAAAATTCCTGTATCAAAAGCAAATAATTGACCCCGCTTATTTCAGCGATCAGATATATTTCCACTCTTTAAACATGGTGATGTAAAAGAATCTATAGCTAGTAGTTACTAGTATATAGTTATTATGTTATATTTACTATAGTTTCTTACCCAATTCATAAAAGTCTTAAGATACCTCTACTCAAAACCTCAGTCTGCAGAATGCGGAAAGTAAGGTGTTTTGGAGTGGTTTCATGTAAACTCAGGAGTGTTACAAAGTTGTGTACTGAGTCCGTTTTTGTTTTCAATGTTTTTCAATGACGTGCCAGCTATTTTAGAATCAGGTGTCTAACTCCTACTCCATTTACACTCTACTATCACCCTATTTTTTGAAACATAATATTAGGTTTACACGACATAAATTAAATTACGTATTATTAAAATGATACAATTTCTGATATTTAGAACCAATAAAATTTAATTAATTCTTATATTTGCTTACGATACTTTTTTTTTATTAATAAACTTGGTTGAACGCACCTTCGTTGTAAGTTTTAGTGAGCAATCAATTATTCAATTTTTGGATGGTTATAACAATATTAAGTTTATTTTCTTTTAATGCCATAGCTAGGAAATAGTGTTTTGTAGGTAAAGAAAAATAATTCACAATACAGTGCTTTGGGAGACGTTAACTTTCAAGTAAGAGAAACTTAACCGCCACATCCATCAAGAGAGATGAACCGCAGGTCTGTTAGTGATTTGCTTTCAAAGGTCCTTGAAAGATTATTGCCCAGTGATGAAAATTGGATTTTCTAGAAACAATAAAGGTGAAAATTGAACCATCAAACAATGTATAATTTGAGGAGTTAATTTTAAGATTTTTGCATTAGGAGGACAGAATCCGTTGATATGAACTTAAACATGAAATTGTCGATATCGTCAATTATTATTTCAAATTTGTTCAGTTATCAAGAAACATCATACTTTTTACCATGAGATTCTAGATTTAGATAAAAGAATTGTTCTAGGGTTAATTACGCCACT